TGTCTTGCCTAGGCAGGGACCTTTGCTGAGTGGAGGTTCGACTGACATAAACTTTTAATCACTGCCATAGCATACCTACTCTCTTTACTCCGATATAAGTTGTGACACAACTTATTCAACTACCAATAATCTGGGAACAATGACCATTTGGCACACTCATGGAGACTTCTGATAGTGGTGTTATCAATCGACAACATCCATAATCAAAATGGAAGGCAGTGAGATTTTAATGAGATTCTATCATGAAGTATTTACGATGAAAAGTGAATCGTCTATTTGAAAGGAGTAATGAAGACAACTGTGCAGATTTTGTATTATGAATTAGGAAGGCGTGGCGTAATCGGGGCGATCCGGCGGGACTTTCATTTGAACATGACAGAATTACTCAAGCAAAAACAATGGCACCCCAATCTGTGGCTTTTGAAAACCTTACACTTTGATTTTCCTGTTATTTATTTTATTGAAAACGTAAGCGATTTATTCATTTATTTATTCAAGACGTTGTATAAGACTATAAGACATTGCTAGAAAACACATGACAAAATATATCACAAATCATCGTGAGTGACATAGAAAGGTAGTCATAAACGAAAGCTAGTTATAAACGTCAATTATGCCTTCACTATCTATTGAGCATCTATGGGGCTCAAAGAGCCTGGGATTAAACTGGATTCACTAAAACGTAAATAAACAAGACCTGCTCTGACTGTGAACAAGGTATGCTTTCAGAGATGGGGAGGGGCAATTCAAACTGACCGCTCCCAGTGACAGTTGGAGTGAGGCTGTGCAACTGAAAACTTTAATCCATTTGTCGGTGAGAAAATCGCAGTTCATGCATGTCGAGAGGCCTGAAAAGAGCCCCTCCCCCTCCCCTTATTCTGAAATGCACAGAGCCACTGCAACGAACCAGCGTCTTCCCAGTGAGGTTTTTTTGAAAGTCTCAATCAGAAGAATGTCATTCTTTTTATGCGAGTCAAAAATACTTCGGTCCCATTCTCGATCAACTCCCAACACAAGTTTTGTATTCTGGGCTGAGTGTTCCATTATCTTTGGTTATCAGAGCTTCAATTTCATCGGACTCCACGAACTTCTTCCCATCTATTGAGTACGTGGACGTGCTGGGGGAACAAAAGTGCATATGAATGACTCAGCGATGAAAGAGGAATCTGCCGATCCTGAAGGCCGCTGTTCCAAATTTCTGATGGAGGCCCGTAAGCATTGAACATCTCAAGGGGTTTATCACTTCATAGAACTTCGAGTCGTCAAGAGTTCTGCTCACACACAGCTAATGTTTAGAGCCAACGAAAACAATTGGGCAGGGCGAGAACTGCCTTTGAGGTGACACTGCCTGTGAACATCATTTTTATTTTCCAAATAGTTTAATGTCCTTCAAATAGTTCGCAACCATGGTTTGTCTACGATCTGTCATAGTTTATAGTGTAGTGTAGACTACCTGAGGGTTACACCTTCTTGACTAACAAATGAAAATTCGTAGAGGAAATCTTTCGAACTTTCACCAGAGGCAGATATGATGCGCAGACCGGATTTTCTCGGGCGCATGGATATGCAATGTGCGCTATGTAACACATCCTCCCAGGAGCGACTGATGTTGTGAAGATGCCTTATCCTAGTTTACAAGACTTCTTATGTTCATAGCCTCTTTAGTCGCGACCGACCGATTCTCCTAAATGTCTTCAAAAGATCTAGATGAAAAACAAAGCAAACGAATCATTAAGTTTTCTACAGGAACCTTAATTTTCATTTCCAGTCTGAACGCTTAACGCTTACTGCTTATTGCAAGACCAGGAACCGAAATTTCACACTTCATTCAAATTGTAAAGTGTCTGCGTATGTGTTTGTGTGTGTTCGACCAGCTCCTGTATCTTCCTCTTCACCCTAGCGTAATTCCGCTTAGTCGCAGGTCTGCCATTCTTATGAGTTGTCACCATTTCCTTCTATTTACAGCATTTTCTGCCTTTTCCTTGTATCGGACTAGGCCTTCCTGATCACTTCCTTCCATCTCTTTCTCGAGCTCAGCGAGGCTGCTTATCGTCGGCTCTGGTCTCAGGCCTCCCTAGTCGCGTGATTTTATGGCTTTCGCAACACCCGTCCATACCATCGCAATCGCTGCTCTCCCATGTTTAGCTGGACAGACCCGGTTTGCGTGACCGCCATGGGAAGTTACAGTTCCTGACTCGATGCAGTCGAAATCCTTAAGCATTTTCATTTCAGTGGAGTAAAGTTGTCTTTGATGATTTTTACCCGATGGCCAGCATTCTGTGCCGTAAAGCATCGTGGGCCTCACTACAACACCACTTACAGCTAGAAATTTCATATTTCGAAAGGGATACAGACAGCAGGATGTGAACACTGAAGGGATGTGATAGGAAGACTCAATCGATAGGGGTTGATAAGGAGCCTCGTTCAAGGATTCGGTTTACTTACCAGTTCGCCCAGCTACAGAAAAATGGGTGCAGTGGGTTCTAATACATAGCGCTGTTGTCACCCAGGGATTGCAATGATCTGCTACATAAATGGTCATTTCGGACCATTAGATTTCATTCATTGGACCGCAATTCAAAATTTCTGGTTTAAGGAAGAATCAAAAGCGTTTGTTTTTTTCTATATACCTCCGGATAATACTAGCAGAGGCGGAGGTGGTGTAGTGGCAAGTGGCGCACTATATCACACGCGCGGTCAGGGGTTCGAATCCCGGATCGATGCCCGCCTAGGCCAACCAAGCCTTCCATCCCTCCGGGGTCGGTGAATTGGTACCAGACTCGTCTGGGAGGATAAAAGCACTGACTTGTACATCGGCTGGCCACCGCAAGTCATTGTATAGGCCACATACGCACTCATTACGCCACTACGATTCCGAATGGAAGTCGAGTGCGGGGGCGCATCCCTCAGACGGGATTGATTAACGCCAAAAACTTTATCCTTTTTATCCTTTTAATTCTAGCAGCAGCAGGAACAGCAAATTGGAATCTCCACATGTTTTACATTTTCTACATATGGCGATTCCATTTTACTGTACCTGGAACTGTTGTTTATGGTCACCATCACAGTGCCACTCACTAGACAGAAAACCGCCACTGAAAACTAGATTCACTCTATCTTGTCATGACAATCTCGAATTATTTCAGAAGACTCGGCGAAAAGGCGCTCGGCGTAATGGAGTGATAAGTGGTATCAAAAAATGGCCAAATGGACGAATTCCATATGTGATCAGTGGACAGTATAATGAGAGGGAACGTGCTGTCTTGGCCAGGAGCTTCCAGGTTTATCTTTTGGCTGCACTCATGCCTGACAATTCGCACTGCTCAACCCCTTGCAGGAATATCATAAGCGAACATGTGTCAGATTCGTAGCTCGCACGCCACTCGACCGGGACTACCTCTACATTGGAAAAATTGATGGGTAAGGCTAATGACTGTTTCGAACTTTTCTCTTTTGTTTAGCTTCTCTTGACCCTCGGCATTGTCATTTACGTTGTTCAGCTTCTTCTGCCGTTCGAAGTTTTAAGGTGAAACGCTTTATTAACTTCACGGCATAACGTGTCGACGGGTAGAATCCGCTCTGACGGCGGAGCCCGCCCTCCGAGGGCGCTATTCTAATTCGCTACTGACGGTCGCCTGTGGCGACTGCGGAATCCATCCGCTTTCACGGTGGAGCCAGGCCTCTAATTAAATACGACGATTAATCGAGACGTCAGGCCTTCTATTTAACCCATTGGCGACCTTTTACTGTCCTAACATGAACTTTTACTTTCTCTCATAACTGTAGTGGGGAGTAAATAATTCCTAGACCACAATGCCTCAAGATTCTCTAGAAGGCTGCGAGCTCAGGTGATACTTGAAACCACCAAAATAATTATAAGAACATTTGATAAATAATATAAATACAACAGGAGCACGATATGGTGCGGCCCGCCGGCGGTCGTCAACGGGTTAATAAAGTGTTCCACCTAAGAACCTTGAACGGCAGAAGAATTTCAACAACTAAAGAGTGTTCTTTGATCCTTGAAAGAATCACAGTAAGCTCCACAGGCATCAACGGCCAGTACGAAAAAGGATAAAGTTTATGGCGTTAATCAATCCCGTCTGAGGGATGCGCCCCCGCACTCGACTTCCATTCAGAACCGTAGTGGCGTAATGAGTGCGTATGTGGCCTATACATACAATGACTTGCGGTGGCCAGCCAATGAACAAGACAGTGCTTTTATCCTCCCAGACGAGTCTGGTACCAATTCCCGACCCCGGAGGGATGGAGGGTTTGGTTGGCCTGGGCGGGCATCGATCCGGGATTCGAACCTCTGACCGTGCGTGTGATATGGTGCGCCACTTGCCTCTACACTACCTCCGCCCAACCAGTACGAACATCACCTACAACTAACACTCTCCAGTGCGCCTATAATTCTAGTAAAAGAGCAAGGTGCAAGAAAGTAATAGCTTGCATCTGAGAGATGTGGTACGTAGGAACGACTTTAAGGGCGGGAAAAGAAAGTTTACCTGCTTTACGAGGGCATTCAAGGCCTAGGAGTCAGATCTCTTCGACTATCACTGTTGTCCTGCTCAAATACTCAAGCGTATATACTATTGTCGATTCGAGAGGCCACTTCCCGTACAAACTGTTTTGGGAGATTGCGATGAGAGCACAATAAAATTGGACGCGATTTCTGTGTCTGTACATAGAGCAAAGATTGCCGCACGGAAATGCGACCCGTCTACTATATCTAGCTAGGGTAAGGGTACCAATAATTAACTTTGCATTGGAATAATGCACGCTTCGGGATGTCTCACTTCTCCGTTACGAGAAGAAATATAAGTTATGTGATGATGACCTTCGGACACTTGAAGGCACAATTCACGATGATTCTGACAATGAGGTACCCTTTTTAAGTTCAAAAACGGATGTGTTGATGTAGAGGAGCACATCGTGGTGAGGAAAGCGAGAAAGTCCGCGTTCTTCGAGGCTTTCTAAATGTAATGTAAGTGGAGGTTGTACGAGACTACCGTGACGGGAATGGCGTCACGGTAGTAACGGCTTATAAGGGGAGTGGGCGGGGGGAGGGGGGTTGGACGAGATTTGACTTGCTCTCATCGTGCGAAGAGATGATTACACCGAGCCGAGAGTGTACGAAACTGCTTTTCACTGGCGCCATGGGTTATGGCAAGTTGTTTGAACTTCCTACATTGGAGTCTGTTGAGATGGTGCAGCTTCTGCGAAACCAATGAAACTCGTCCACTATGGATGTGGCATTCACACGATACAATTTCTGACCCCTTCTTGTGGGGGGACGGAACATTTACCAAAACTGGGTGAACGCGGCAAATGGCGCGGCGAGATTCGTGGTGTTTAGGACGACTTTGGCACCTATCATTGGGGTACAAACTTGATGTAGAGTACAGTATGGTCAGATGATCGTACCTATCGACTATACTTCAAATTTGGGCCCCAATGATAGGCGCTAAAGTCAGTTAAATCGCCACAAATTTCGCAGCGCGATTTGCCGTGTCCATCCATTTCTGGGTGAATGTACCCATACCCCTTCTTGTGCCCCATCCAGTACGTTGTTCAATCTTATAACGGCAGGTATGGTATAACGTGGAGCTTCGAATTCATGCTATAGGGAAATCTCATAAACCATTTCTATCGTGAATTCTGCCTTTGAGAATAAGGATATAACTTAACCGTTTCTTTCGCAGCATTCGTACCAAGTGGTACACCATGTGCTGATGCTGTTTATGGTAGCCGTTGAAGTATATGGAGAGCGCTGCCTAGAGAATAATCACACCACAAAGAGTGCGCTACTACAGCTAGGACTGAGGGTGTACTGGTGGTGGACAAGTTCTCATTGATTGAAGTTCTGATAATCGATTCACAATTTTTCGCAAGCATATTTATGCGTTTATTCAATGAGAACGGAAAGCTAGACATAGTATCATGAGAGAGACTGCGTTGAGGCTGAGAGAGGGGCCCTCGAGTTGCGAGATCGAAGCTTACCTCATCGTAGGCGATGAGCTAGGTGCATACGGCGGACCCACTCCTTATTCACCTGGCCTTGGAATGTGTCTCACTTCACGGAAAAGCCACACCAAGTTTTCTGAACAAAAAGCATACTTTGTAGAGCTCCCTTTTGATTTTCTCTTTGTATTGTGCATCTAATTAATTACCTCGCAATTATGCTGCCTGTTGAATGTTGTTTGAGCAGATGCTTTTCTGATGTCGGACGTGCCGGTGGACGACAAGAGTTATCACTTGACGACGGTTGCATGCAGGTGAATGATTTTTCAGTCCTTTATGCAAACTCTATTTTCTGCTGAACTTTTATCAGTTGCCTTCTGTAATAGTTATGGCCACACTGAGCACTTTGTAAATCGCAGCTCATGTGATGCAATATGCAGACTACTCCCTATTAATGAAGGAATTACCATCTATTTGGATAGGCTGCATGGGGCTTAAATCAATAAGAAACAGGAGTTACGCTCACCTCCGCCATTACAGTACAGACAGCGTTGTTACTGGAGCTGCATGAATGGAGTTGTTTAAAGAAAACTGCCGAAAAATCGCAATAGTCCGGATCTTTTCTAAAATGTTTCGAAGTTTCACATGTCCTTGCTTATAGTATAAGGGCCCGATTCACGTCCCTAGTATGACACGTACCTTTCTACGGATTTAAATCCATTCAGCTGCTGAAGCTCATCGGAACTGGTGCTAAGTATTTAGGCTTCATGTCACTTCAAGGCGATCCGGTGCACGCCTTAAAATCACAAGCAAAAATTTGAAAAATGAGATCTGATCTGGGACTTCGAATGATGAAATCTCCAGAAATGTTATGTGCATGCGAAGGAGTGGTGTCTTTTCGAAGATTTTTTTGTGGATTTTTAGAACACATCAGAAAAATCTAAGTTTCTATAAACTTGACAGCAGATTCCTTCCAAATACCTTGAAGGCACCTTTCACTTCAAAAATGGATACCCTATTGGGATAACTGGCCCCCTCGTATATCATTTGTGCCGCTGTCAGCTCTGATAGCGGCCTAGATAGGGCGTTATGAAGGCTCAAAGATTGCCCCAAGTGCATGCGAGTTCGAGTTCCATGGCTTTGTCGAGGATGCACCATTAACCTATGTAGGAATTTCAAACCAATTGTCATGACTCATAGTGGTAGCGAAAGGCAAATCTGGATAGACATGTTTGACGTAGTTAGCTCTTTGCGCAGTTACAAAAAATGGAATCCCGTTCAAGAACCCCTTCCATGACTTCTTGAGAGGAGCCTCTTTTTTACGAAATCGGCGAATTTTCACGCTCCCTTCCTCACCGATGCACTATTCCCAACCAATACTTCCGTTTTCCGACTTGAAAAGGGTACCTCAAAATTATCGTGAACTGTGCTTTTAAAGACACAGCTCAGGATAATTCTGATTTACCCATTTTTATTCGAAGAGCGGAAGTATAGATTGGGAACAGTTCATCGGTAGCGAAGAAAGAGAGAGAATTTTCGATTTCGAGAAAAAATATGGCTCTTCAGAGGTAGGGAAAATGGAGGTTGTACGAGATCGCCATGACGGAAATAACATGGAAGGGGTAATCGGACGAGATTTCACTCAGTGCAATTGCGCAAAAAGCTGACTACATCAAGCCAGAACTGTCTTTCGCTGTCGCTATGGGCCGCTACAAGTTGTTTGAACTTCCTACATGGGTTCTCTCGTGATCGGTGCAGCCTCTACAATGCCGGTGAAACTCGTCCGAGGACACACACGGGCCAACCTTTTAGCCCTTATAGCCCCTAANCCATTCTGTTCGAGGTAGGCAAATAGTGAACCAGCGTTGTTATCACTTTCAAAAGGCAGCTTCAGTATGACACTGCGATTCACGAATTGATGCACTCCGTAGGATTCTACCATGAGCATGAACGATGGGATCGCGACAATCACATAACCATCCTCTGGCAGAATATTGACAAAGGTTTGCAGCACTGAGCACTGTGGTTTTCATTTCAGAACAAGGCTCACTAAATAAATCATTTTAGAGGCGTATGATCAGTTCGGCAAAGTTGATCTAACTGAAAGCTCTTATTACGGGCAAATGTATGACTATTACTCGATTATGCATTACGACAGTTTGGCGTTTTCAAAGAATGGATTCGAGACTATGGTGGCGAAACGTCCAGAAATGACAGCAGTGATCGGATCAGCAATCGACTTCAGTCCGGTATGAATCTTTTTTAAGACCGCTATATTTGACCCTTTTTTCATTTCTGCGAATCCAGAAGTTGTCCTTTCCTTATGCTGGCCCGTACCAACGTTCCATAAATGACTGTATTTGGCCGTTATCGATGCAAAACAAATCCTGATTATAACCGATTTCAAACTTGAAATCAGCTAAGGAAGATAGGATCCGGGCTTGTATCCATTAGTAGAAGGCCATCTTCCATTCCAGATCGACGTCCTCAAAATGAACTTAATGTATGATTGTGGGCGGCGACCTGATATTGAGCCACAGCCACTTCCACCACAGCCACCACCGCCACCACCACCTCCTCCTCCTGCTCCTCCAATGACTTTCTCTTCCGGTCCGGAAATAAGCGATGGTACGTTTTTTTTTGTTCGTATTGAATAGACTTCCCTGGAATCTTCATAATGATGCCAAAAATGTTAGCTCACATAGTAATTGATCCTGAGATTTTTGACAAATCGAATCAAATTTCCTTTGAATAGATGAGCCGGTGAGACAGAGAGTCATTCGTAGGTAACGACCACGGAAATGATAGTGGATAACGACAGGAACAGCAGAAGGTGGCCTCAGCGTCGGAGCCAGTCAAATTGCAAAACTGAAAATGGATTAATTAAGGCTCTCATAGAATGTCTGTTCTTACGATACATCGTCAAGTGGGCATGCAATGTCTAAAAAGCTTTGCTCTTACGGTTTTCGAACAACTTATCTATGTGACTTCCTTATATGAGCGTCATTGTTGCGTGCTCGGTCTCGCCGGACCGAAAATGTATACTGATCATGAGCAAAATAGAATCCCATCATTCCAATTTGAACGGAGCCCGAGGCAAAAGTGAATTATTCGGCTACTAACGGAATGGCTATCACTACACTCGAAGGTACAGCCAGCGGTGTGTGGGGAAGTGCTGATATCAGCTTCTCACTGAATAG